ATTATCACTGTGTTAAAATAGATAAAATTTTGTCAGTTGGGACCAAAATAGTTGCCTTTCTAGCCTTTGTATTTTTAACAGAGTCTAAACATATACACATACTTAAAACTGTTGTTGATTGATGTAAAACATCCCCCCTCAAAATTCCTACTAATATTCTCGAAGATGAGAACTTGGCATCGTGGTTTCTTCTCTCGTGAGATCAAGAATACCAGAAAGGTGTTTGCAGTCACCTCCAGCCCAGTTCAGTCCTCGGATTTCAGACAACACTGTGAGAATATGTTTTAGAGATAGAGTATGGGAAGTTCAGACACACGTCTTAAAAAGGACTTTACGGGTTAACTCATCGGTAGAGTTTAAAATATAAAATAAAACTACTCGATGATTTTGGTGGACTGCCTCCTTTCCATAAAATTCTTTACACTTTCACTTTGGCTGGTTTGTATTCCAGTGGCTGAATTCTGGGGACTTACATAGTACTTTATTTGGAGTATGAATTTTGGTTCTCAACAGTTATGGCACTCTGTTTTCCTTTCTTCAATAAGCAAACTGGGACTTGGAATTAAACAAAATGAGTAATTTGCTTTTATCCATTCAATGTAATCTAGAGAAGAAAGGAATATACTTAGCCTGCTGCCTTCTCTACTGGGTCCTTCTAAAGTTACATTAAAAATAATACTGAAGTCACTGGAAGGATTTAGATTTATTATTTTTGTGATGAGTACACATTTTAGAAAAAATATAATCCATATACTTCCTTATATAAAACTAGTTTCACATAATCAGGGTTTTGATTTTTTTTTAAATGTATGTATAAGATAAATGTTCTTTATGAAAACCCAGACTGCAAACAAACATTGCAGATGGTAATAAAGATTCTATTTAAATTTAGCTTCCACAGAAAATGAGTTTATATTATCAATCTATATTTGTAGTGAAACTCCTGACCATTTAAGTCAGTTCTTACCTACAGTATTTTTTTAGCTTATAAAAGCACCAGAACAAATATTAACATGTGAATAAAATCACTTGTATAGCTTATGCATTGCTCTTACACATACTAGCTCACTTGACAAAAGTACTAGTATCTTAGCCTTATTGAAAAGTTTGATATCTTTTATAGTTTTTCCTGTATCTACAGTTCTTGCCATGGTCAGTTTCTTACCCCCGTCTTTCATATCCTTAAAATTAATAAGAAACCAAAATGCTGAACCTGAATTTTCCTAAGTTATGAATGTTACATCTTAAATATATTCACAAAAGCAATTCAGAGATCCAAATTAGCTGAGTGTGAGAAAGAAGACTAGAATAAGTGACAATTATCTTTCAGGGGCTTTCTACCAAACATGTACAAGCCACATAGAGTAGGTGAAAATGAAATGGGATTTGAAGATGTGATCCTGTTTCAATCCAAAATACATTCATTCTTGAAGCAATATGTGGCTCCTTAAACTATTCTTAGACCCACACAATCAGGTACACAGCAACAATTTAAATAACTGAAAAAAAGTAAAACCAGGAAAAAAGGGTGCTAAGATATCACCTAACTACAAAGAAAGAATTACTGAAAACTTGAAACAACCATTCAAACCTCGCTCTAGAAGTGAGCCTTGCTTAAAGTTGAAAAATAGTTTAAATGTTCACCGATGCACAAACTAGACACTGAAAATATGCATACAGCCAGAAGACAAATTTCTAGGACTCGGCTTTGATGTAAAAGTTTGGATGTTGGTCAATTTTTTGGAAAAGAGGGCAATATTTCACCTTTAAGAATACTGAGTGATAAAACTGAAACCAGCATGGAGTATTATACACCTCATTTGAATTTTTAAAACATAGTGGGCATAATTAATTTTCATCTTCAGTTTTATTCAAACCTTCTAAGATGTTTAAACATGCTAAGGAACCCAGGATAAGGTAACTCCCACTTGCCTTCATCATGAAATTTTAGCTAAGACATACTTTGCAGAGCACGGCTTGCCTATTTACAAATTTATTCCCTTTCAATAACAATTTGTTGGGATGTATAACCATCTTTCTCCCATTACTATATGCCCAGGGCAGTCTTATCTGTTACATTTCTTTATACATAGATATGGCTGCATATTACGGCCAACAGAAGAAACCGCCCGTAGCATCTTAATGATAAATGATGTGAACGCCACATAAATTCTTTGAACATCCCAGTGGGACATTTAGCTGGACAATCCACACAATAGCATTTTACAAATGGAAAAGTTAAGAATAAAGTTAAGTAATAAAGGGTAACCTAACTGACCTAAAGTCACCAGCTAATTTGTAAGAAAAAAAATAAAATAAAAACAATCAAAACTGTATTTTGGTTTATGTCTCTAAAACAACCAGCCACTTACCTGAACTTTTTCTTTTCTACTGACCGTAACATTTTAGGTCAGTAGCTTTCAAACTTCTTTACCTCAAACCAGAGTAAGACATACATTTTAATCACAGCCAGCACACATAAGCATGGATAATTAAAATAAATTGTCAGGAAACAAAATCTGCTCTTATTAGATATTACCCACTTGAGTATTTTCTTTTTTTTTTTAATATTTTATTCCTTTAAAAAAATGTTCTAGACTCACTGACTTCATAAGTCTCTGGATCATGAAAAGCCATCTAAAAACACTTGCTTTTGGCCCCAAAACTTTTGATAACTACTGAAGAAAACTAAGGGTTTCTAAAAGAATCTAATCAGCTCTTTTCTTTTTACTCAAACAGTAAAATTGAGAGGGGGAAAAATATTAAGTAATGTTTGTCTATTTGAAATAATTCTATTCCACAGAATCTTCTTTTCCTCCCTGGGTAATAAAAGGCAAAATTCAAACATCAAAAAAAGGATGTTATGGAAAACAAACGCCAAAGGAAAAAATTATTCTAAAAATGAATTTCCATCCAGAATCCCATACATAGTGAGTTTTTTACCTTTATTATTTTTGAAAGTTCCCTTTTTCTTTTTTTTAAAAGTACCAGAATATTATCTAATGCAAAAAGTTTAAGATGGGGCTTATTATAGGGATATTATTTGCCACTGGGATGATGAACAATTTTGAATAAAATGTGATCCCCTCTTCATTTGACCATACTCACTTTGTAATTACTGGCAAGGCAGTAAATAATCCACTGAGAAGCAGTCTCATTAGTGCCCATTGAAATTCAGTGGCATTAATTTGCAATAAAAGAACTGAAAATTAAATGGAAAAGAAAATAGTTTCTGGAGTCTACCTGGAGGTTATGGAACTCACATCATACCAATGCCTTCCTTCTATCAAGGAGTTTAAAAGGTGTGAATCAGATTTAATCATTAGATTTTGTTCTAAAACTTAAAAAAAAAGTAGGCAGACTAAATTCTTTTTCATTTTCCATTTTAACCCTGAATTAAAACAAGTTAAATGAATTTGACAGATGCCAACTTGTAAAAGTTTTGTTCATCCTAGTGAGTCTTCTAAGGAATAACTCAGACTGGACCTGCCTGGCTGTGGGGTGTTCTAAAGCCTTTTGAGGGGCTAAAGGATGTAGAGTGTGCTCAGATAGCCCATGATCCCCCCCCCTTCAAATTCTCTGGGGCCACCTGGCACCTTCCTCCTCCTGCTCCTGCTATAAATATCTCTGGAAATAGAACGCTGAATGGAAAATCATCCCGGCTTGCAATACAGAAGGGTCTGGGTTAAGGATGACAGGCAGGTCCAGACACCGGTGTAGAGTCAGGCAGTGCCTAACTCCGCGCCCACCCACGTGGGTGCCCTGGGGTCTCTCAAACCCACTCCAGGGCACCCCTGTCTAGCAGCACTTAGAGCACTGGTATTTCCCAGGACCACCTGCCTAAGCCCTTTCGGAGTCCACCAAAAGAGAAGGGAGAAACTGTCAAAGGGAACATGAGAGCAAGAAGGGAGAAGGAAAGTGTCATCTCTACGAAAAAGGAAAAACAAAAAAAAACGAAGACACAAAACATTTGCCTCTAAGTTACAAAAGTGTCCCAGTGCCCCCTGAACTACCATCTGCTTCTTCCCCTGAAGGAAAAGCACAGAAGCCGGCTGAACTCGGGCACAGCACTCCCGGGGGCATTCTGCGCCCCGTAGGCCAGAAATGAAACTTAGCTGGCAGGAAAGTATTTCAACACACTCGCGCTTCGATGTGGCATGTTTCAAACTCAGGGGACACTTATAAATCTCGGGATGTCAGAAGTCTTCTGCCAGCTCTGGGCTCTGACACGGACTCAGCCCGGGTAACTCAGAAATCAGAAAACTCCTTAAGACCCATCCAACTCCAGGGTCTTCTGAGGGGCGCATTTCACCCCCGCAGCCCTCCTAGGTGGGGACGTGCCAGGAATCTCTCCCCGAGGAAATCACCTTTGCCACCACCATCCTCACCATTATCAGAGCGTGCATATTTCCAACCCGAAAGTCGAGCAGCGGGGAACTTTGGCACGCACAGTAAAACAAAATTGTTAAATACTACGACTAATATAAATAAATGAGTTCAGCGAGTCCCAAACACCTCCAGCCTTAAGTACCAAAGGGGGACCTTTTCTAGGGACTCAAAGCACCTTATGTGTATTGGCTCTGGGATGCCCCCCTCCCCAACTAAAAAACCTCTGCTTTGCACGGTTTTCCAATATTTGTTTAGTTAGGAAGCACACGGGGTTTCGGATCTGCGTCTCAAGCAGACATTGCGGGGGCGGGGGGGGGGTGGAGAAGAAAAAAAATAAAAATTTAAAAAAAATTTTTTTTTTTTTTTTAAGCTTCTGGGCCAGAGAACTTGACTCTCCGAACACGAGATGCACCCGTGACCCCAGGCCGGGCGTCGCGCTAGCCCTCGGGTCGCGCGGCCCCGGCTCGGGCTGCGGCTGCGGCCGGGCGCCCGGCCCCGCGGCCTGCGCGCCCCGCTCCCTCCGCGCCGCGCGGTCCCTCGCCCCCCGCTCCCTCCCGCCGCCGGGCGCGCGGCTGCCACCCCGACGGGGCGCGGCGGGCGGCGCGGGTTACCTGTAGTAGGCGGGAGGGCCGGCTTCGCGCACCGCATAGCCGCTCGGTTCGTTCTCCAGGTAATAGGGCACCTGTTGGCCGTGCGGGTGCAGGAAGGGCGAGAGGGGCTGCGGCGGCGGGTGCAGCAGCACCAGCGGGCTCGGAGACACGCTGTTGAGCGGCGGGAAGGCCCCCAGGCCGTTGGCGCCGAACGCCGCCGCCTCGGACCCGGGGCCGTATGGGAGGCCCGACTGGCCGTAGACGGGCGCAGAGGCGGCGGCCGCGGCGTTGAAGTCGTACGCGGCGCCCTCGGGGTAGTTGTACACGGCGGGCTTGCTGCTGTCCACGTACACCTCGCCCAGGGGCCGCTCCAGGGGGATCTTGAGCTGCGGGCGGTTCAGGGGCTCCAGCTCGTTGGCTTGGATCTGGTGCAGCAGGGCCATGCCGGACGCTTTGGTGTGCAGGGTCATGGTCATGGTGAGCGGCCGCGGGCCGGGCGCAGACCGTCTCCCCCCGCGGCAGAGGGCTCAGCAGCCGGCCGGCCACCTGGAAGAAGAGCACAGCCCGCGGTTAGAGGCGGCGCAGCGCATGTCCCGCCGCGACGCGAGCGCCTGCCGGGCCCCGGGGAGCCGGCCCCGTCCCGAGGAGCGCGGCGGCCGCCGGACGCGAGCAAGTGCAGCCCGGCGCGAACGCGCTCTGCCAACTCGCGGGCTCGGGTCTCCAACTTTAAGTACCGCTCTCCCGAGCTCATAGGCATGACAAAGGTGCTGGCCCCCGGCCAGGGGCTGCTGCGGCCCTGACGTTGCCTTCAACATCACTCCAGGCGCGCAACTCGTTTTGGAGCGATCCCAAAGAGCAGCTTCCCTGAACTTTACTTTACTTGCCGCTGCTGGATAGAGGCTGGATTTCACGGCAGGAGGGCGGGGGCGCCGAGGGATCTCCTAAAGGTGGCCCGGAGAAGACGGGGTTTCAAACCAACTCGGAAGGCTCATCCCGGGGCCAGCTTTCTCTAACGTGCTACCTTATATGCCCCGTGCCAGGCTCCAATCTATCTCTGTTTGTCTCCCGTGCTGTTTGATTCACGCTCCTCGTTGGCTGGAAATACGTAGTGTGTACATAGAATGACCCTGGGGAGGACCACTCTGTAACCGAGATATGGGAGATGGAGTAGGGTGTGCGGTTGCCGGTGCAGACAGCTATATTTAGCAGCTGCAGAGACTGATCGCAGGCATCCGGGGAAAGGGGGCGGAGATTAAAGGTGTACGTATAGGAAGAGCCGAGTTTTGCCTTCAGGAGAGTGCTACCTGACCTCAGTTTCCCTAGTCTAAAAAATTCTCCCAAAGTGGTCGCCTCCAGCCGCGATCTTCCGAGATTCTCCCAGCCCACCTTGTCTGTGTTGGACCACAGTGCTGTCCTTGCTTCCATTAGGAATTCTAATGTGAATGACGATTTACCAAAACCTTTCCGTTAGGAGGACATGGGTCTTCATGCTTTCCACAGACTATGCAACCAAAACTTCAGAAAACTGAGTATGAAATGTGATCCTTCCATTAAAAAAATAAAAACAGAACCTCAGGTCATTAACCACATCTTTAGCAATTATGTTGTACTGATGGTCTCAGCAACAAATTTTGAAAGTCAGTGATGCCTTTCTGTTCCTTTATCCTCCGATTGGACCTTCATGGTTCACTTGGACTAGGATATGCAGATTCAAATATCCAGATTGAAAAACAGGAAAAAGTTTGGTACCGAATTAAAAGTTAAACCTGCTCAAGTACATATATATATATATATATATATATATATATATATATATATATAATATATTAGAATATATTATATATATAATGTGTATATGTGTATATATATATAATGTGTATGTATAAATATATATTAAAAAGCTATGGTAAATACATTGTGCACCTGTAATCATGGAGAGTTTATACCTTTTAATAAACTTCCTTGTCCCCAGTCTAATGAACTCTGAAACAACTGATACTTGGCTTTAATTGCTATCCCAAACACCTGACAGAGTACCTGACAAAATTTCCGTGTCATATATAAATGCCAAAGATGCTATCACTGATAGTAATATCTGGGGATATCTTTATACTAATAAATACATGGTTACCTAATTCTTATAAGGACAGACAGAGCATTTGGGGATAATATGCAAATATAGCTGATTTACTATGAAGCCAAAACTGAGTTCAGCATCCATAACAAGAATTATAAGCAAAAAAAGGGTTAAAAACACATTGGGTGAATCAGATATTTCTCTTTATGGCCAGCAACCATTACTTTCCAAAGCAATCTTTTTACAGATGACTTCTTCTCCGTAAATCACACTTTCAATTTTCAAACATCTTAAGAGAGAAAAAAAAAAACAACCATGCACAAGCACTTCAGAGGACTCTGAAAAATCTGAACCTTCCGAATTCTATGTAAATTACACAAAGAACACTGTGGGTCCGAAAGCAGAAGGAGGTGCACACACAAACCCAAGGAAAACAGCAAAGCCTAATCTCCCTGCTTGGATACAGACACTCGTCAGAAAGGTGAGTTGCTCTCTCAAAATGCTAAAGCTGCAAAGAGAAATCAAAACAGTCCTACCCTGCTGGATCAAGAGCGTCTTTCCAGAAATGTTCCATGGGCTTGTAGAAGTCAAGGGCTGAGACAGTGAGAAGGAAGGGAAGAATGTGCTCCCATGTGCCTGTGGCTCCGTGTGTGAGCAAGGCAGAGCGTGTGGGGATGTGTTTGCATGTGGGATGGCAGGGAATCGGGAAGCAGCCAGTAGGCAGGGCATTTGGCAGCCCCTCCCGGCAAGCAGAGCAGCTGGGTGAATGGCATTGGAGAGTAAGGAGAGGCTTGCTGTCTGCTCACAGGGAGCAGGGTGCCACACTCAAGTCAGCCTTACTGGATGGAACCGACACTCCCAAGCCTTTCTGCTCCTTCTACTTGGAGCCTAGAAAGTGTGCCGTGTTTTCTGCTGCCATCCGAGGCAAGAGGGAAAGCAGGCTTGCTGTAAAATCATAGGCTTATGGCTCAAATAGAATGCCAGTCAAAAGTGCGTGGATATCAAGTTTACAAAATGTGACACGGGTGGTTTTTCCTGAAGAATATAATTTAACAATAAAAGCCTTCTGGGATCCACTTGGATCAGATGCCTTGCTGGTCCCAGCCCCCCCTCTTTGCCCACCCCCCCACCACCATCCCCCTGTCTCTGAACAGACACACTGTTGCCGTGCCTCCCGGTTGCACCAGGAAACCAGACTTTGGAATAAATGTTTTGGCATTCTAGGGATGTGTTTCCAACTGAAATGTAATATTCCTCCACCTCGTTAACCAAACCCACAAACCTTTCCACGAATAGCTCAGTTGACTGCTTTCAGTAAACATGAAAAAATATATCATTAAAATCCCAGAGGAGGAAGATAAAACAAAGGTAGGTACCTTTGTTTGGTACTGATTTTAGGCTTTCTGTTTGTAGAGGCATTGACCATGGGTAGAGGGTCTCTCATTTCCCAATGATGTCCACATAGAGCCACCAGGTTCTCAACGTTTCTCTTGACCATGGTACTAACACACAAAGAAAGTGCTCCTCGTGGCCCTAACCCAGTGTCTAAGGACATGTGACGCCTACTGGAGCCTTTGTTGCCAGACGTTAGTCACTGCCTTGGGTATTAAATGGTTCTAATCACAATGCCAGGAGTGGCCAGTCTCTGGCCCTGGTACCTCATGCAGTTACCGAGAGATTTATGAGTGGCTCTTAAGACCAGTACAAAGGAAGAGGTAAAAAGTTATTTTTTAAAAAAAGTTACCAAAATGTTAATAATGTCATGATGCAAATAGGATTTTGTGCTTCGAAAGTCCCAAAATATTGCAATATTACAGCACAGAACCCTTTGTTGTTGATGGCTGTGAATATTAACTCCTCCCTTAGGTCAACTATGGCCATGCATGCACTAAGCCAGTCCAAAATAAAACAAGAATGTGCAAAGAATGGAGAAGGAAGGGAAAGAAGGGGGAGGAAGCAGAGGAAAACAAAGAAGGAGGAAAGAAAGGGGGGAGAGATAAAAGAACTTTGCAAGTGTTCTCCTTGAACATAGGAAGGATAAGTCCCATTATCTCTTCACAGACTTTGATAATTCTACAAGTAACCATCAAAGTTAGTCCCAGATGTCGGATAAAGACAGTTTTCTGGAACACTCTCTTGCCCATATTCTCTTTCCTATTCCTGGTAAGAATCGTCACCCAGGCCTGATGATGGCGGGTGGGAAAGGACCGCGAACCTTGCCAGTCTTCTTCTAGTGCTTCTGGCAAACAAACTTACAGCCTGGTTCCCCCTCTACCCTCCCCAGCTGCACAGCCTCACGCTCCCCTCCTTGACTTCCTGGCATGTGCTGGGGAGTTCGGGTCAAGTCTATTTCTGTAGCTCCACCATCGAGAGCATCACCAGACCACTTTGCCAACAGTCTCCTGGGCATTGCCTGCTCATTGAAAACGTGAGTCATCATTCTTCCTTCCCCCAGACATAGGGCTCCTCTCCAACCACCCCCCCCCACCCCTGCCCCAGTCTGTGACTAGCATCATTATCCCTGCAGTCGCCCAGGGCACTCCTGTAGGCTTTCTGTAGCCTTGGCACTCCTGAGCATTCTAGCTTTGCCGTTTATCCCTTCCCCTGACACTCCTATGCCCCTCCTGCATTACCTCACCTGGCAAAAGGATCTCCTGGGGACATCTGCCCCTGCACACTTCTTCCTAGATCCTGCTGCCTTATATTTTGTTGGTTTTTACAGCTTTGAGATCCATTTTCTCATGATCGGCTCCATTCTTCACCCAGATCATAGCTTCCTCCAGAGTTCAGGCCTCCTTTCTTCCCATAATATCTCGTCTAATGTATCTCCCCCTGATGTGTAACCTATGCTTCTGTTGAAGGAAAAAAAAAAAAAAACTTTGAGCCTCCAAGCACTCAAAGCTTTCCTGATGACATCCCCTCTGCCTAGAACCCTGCTTTGCTGGCTTGTCAGGGGAAGTTCTTTTTTAAAGATCAGCCCAAATGCTATCACAACCAAAATGCCTTCTTTTATTCTTTATTCAAAGGTATTTCCTCTCCTCTGAACACGTGATATTTCTCATGCATGTGTTACATTCTTCCTTGTATTAACATATAGATTATATATCCCCTCCTGCTCAGAAGTTCCTTGACGACAAGGTCTGCAAAGAGTTATTTGGGAATTTTCTGAGTCCCTAGCACTGTGCTAGTCATATTAGGTCACCAAATATTGGCTAATTTATTCATCCAGGTACTTAAAAGGATAAAATAATATTATGTTTATCTGGATAAACCCTCTCTAAAAGCTAACTTTCCATGTAACGTTCTACCATCTTCAAACTGTTTTTCCTAAACGATTGTCTTGGTATACTCATACTGACTGAGGCCATGAAGTCAAAATTTAAATTCATACAATCTTGA